GGTGAGGCTGACAGGAGTTTCTCCCTGCTGATATTTTCTTTCTGTTGCAAGTTTCTATCTGTGCTTGTGAAGAATTTGCAGAGGAGTTATGAATCCAAGCCAAGTTATACCATGTTAGCATGTTTTAAGTCACTAATGTTGATGCTTCTCACACAAGGTGGTACTAAAGCAGTCTTTTGTTCCTTCAATTTGACTGTTACTTTGTTCAACTTGTGAAAAATCATAGCCTGATATGTGCTTAAAGTGAAATTTATTTTTTCAGGACTATTGTTTGTCACAGATGAATAAATTTTTGAACTAGAAATACACCACAGATGGGCGAAACAGGGATGAGTCAGATTTTTTGTATTATTTTTCTTTGTTTCTTCATTCCAGTGGGGTGTGTGGTTTTTTTCTTTATTTGAATGATCTGTCAGATGACACATGCCAAGGATTTCCAGTGAAGTCTTTGTGAGCACATCTGATAAATTTTGGTAGGAAGTCATTGGTCTTGCATTGACATCTTGTTTTGCTCACTGAGATTTGCAGTTCCTTCAGCAAAGCAGCAAAAGTGTCATCTCCTTGACTGATGCAGCTTTCTGTAATCTGAGCTGAACAATGAAGTTATTTTACATTAATAAATAATTATGTCAGAACACGTCGTCTCCATTATATGTTTGGTGGGTTTTTTCCCCTTAGGAATTTTGCTAATTTCTCATGTTACTAGTATTTTCCTCTCTTTCCTAAGAGGTTGCTGTTATTGCGTTCTTGTTTTTTAAGGAATGATACCTAAACTTGCATGTATCCAGCTGTGAGAGAAATGGAGAGGATAGAGGAGAAAACTTTAATTTGTTTACCTGCAAGTCTTTCTTCTTTATAGATGAGTGAGACTGTCATACTTCTCTGTGAAAGGAGGTTGAGGCTAGTCCCAAATGAAATCATGTTTTCAGCTGCAGTGATGTGCTGTGCCTCTCAGGTCGAGTGTCTTAGCTGGTGCTTCTTTACATAGTGAACAAAACTGTATGAACTATGGTTTGTTCCTTCTGATGTTACCTTTTCCATTTAATTGTTAGAGTAATGGCTGGCACACTATGGATGCTGATGCTTAGCAAAAAATCTGTTTTCCATTACTTCTTCTGTTAACAGTGTAGCTCAGTTTGGGCTGATGGCCTAATTTTCCAGGGTTAAAACATTTGCAAGTAGAACATCTGTATGTGAATCAGCAGCTTCTTTAGCATGTGATTACTTTGGATTTGACAGACACAGGTCGGGCAGATATCACTTTCATGCTTTCTTGATTACTCATGAATTCCAGAGGGTATCTTAGGACAGCACTCATGTGCTCGACATGAGTGCTCAGCCTAAAAGAAAATGCTGTGGGGTTAAAGAAGGTTAATATTTACAGTGTTTGCAAAGGAATCCTGTGGGTGAACAAATCCAGCATATGGCTTAAATATATTGTTTGCAGAAATTAAGTTTAATGCTTAAAAATTGTAATGCCTAAGAAGCACAAAAGGGGAGATCTCATTTTCTATTAAGAAAATGCAAGTAATACCTTGAGTTGAATTCATTGATTACTTTTATGGGAGAACTAATGAGACAGGTAACTCTGTTTCAGAGAGCTAGCAACTTTATTCTTCATAGCCTAAAATGTTAGGGACTTGGACTTTCTGGTCTCAAATGTCTGGCTCTGTTGATGGCCATTAGCTGTGTTTGGAAAAAAACCCCAACCACAGACCCAAATTTTTTGTCTCTGTTTGACATATATCTGCCTGCTTATTTATACTGTAAAATGTTAAAGCAACCACAAAAGTATGTGGCTTTGTAATTTACGTGGATCATTTCTTTGTCCTTTCCATGTGGGTAATCTTGCAGTACATGATAGTTTGACATGAACTTGCTTTATATTGTTGCACAAAGCAATATATTTCCCATGACTGATAAATTGTTACATTTTGTACCTTTCCTTATCATAGGTTAGTTGGGGAGAGGGAATTGTCACACTGACGGACAAAAGCAATGTATATTATGCTACACCCACCCAGTCCCGAATTTGTTTGCTTTCCAATTTGCTGCTGAAGGCTGAGTCATTCCTACTGTTATAACAAATACATGTTAGATAAGGTATCGTAGCAAAACTGTTTCTCGTCTCTTGCAGTTGATGATAGCAGAAATTTCAAACTCTAAAGTTAAAAACGAACTCTTTTTAAACAATGAAAGTATTTTAGACTCAATTGTATGAAATACTTCTGACATTGAATACAGCTGCTCTTTATGTGAAGTTGATGACAATTGGTGTTTACCCAGAAAAAAGTCCTGCTGGTCCTCTTTTTCTTCAGCAATGTTGATGTTAAATATTCTTTTATTGCCTTCCCTTCAGCAAAGAGAATGAGTACCTGTTTCAGGACCTCATAAAGGAAACTATAGCAGTAGGATGCAAATCTATGCTTCTCTACCTGCAAAATTATCTTTTTGAGGAGCAGACTGGAACCAACTGCCTTTGGAAAAAACCTGTGTTGGCCAGAGAGACCTGAGAACTGTCCTAAGATTTTAGTAGTAGGTTTTTTAGCTAAGTAGGTTTTTTAGCTCAGTGACATGTATGTAGGTCTTTTACATGTCTGAAGACCTTTTCATATCCGAGTCTAAATCCTTGTGATTTCAGTGAGAATTGACATTGCTCTAGCTACTTGGTTTCAAAGTTCTCCTTGTTCTGAATAAGTTTTAATTGCTGTTTCACATAGATATTGAGGAACAGTTAATGTCAGGGTTTCATTTGCATGATACATCTCAGCAAAACCGCTTAAATTAAAACTTTCCTGTTAGTAGGAATACTGTTACAGGATTAGACCTGGCTCTGCTTTCAGCACTGTTTGTGCTCCCTGAGAGCTTAGTTGGATTTTTTTGTGGTACATGGGACTTCTTTCAAAAGCTTTCGCTTTCAGTGGAAACCAAATATCTTCTTCTTCCAGCCCAGCTTTGCTTTTGTTTTGTTCCTTTTTTTTCTTCCTAAGAAAGGAAATTACAGAACATTTATTACATTATTTGGTATTTCTAACTCACTGTTTTGATTTTGTGGGTTTATCTTCCTGCAGCAAAACTACTAAGTCATGACTTTGCCAAATATTAGATCACATTCTTGATATAGGTTTTCATAATGTGAGGCCTGTAATGGTGACTGCATTATGATTATAGTAAAAAGATGGAGACGCTGAAGTGCCTAATTGCAAAATAAGAAGTATATTTGAATTTTGTAGTTTTGAGTACGTTTCATACAGTGTAGTCACTTCCAACTGATGTGAAGGAAGTTGGGCTTAATTTTTAGGTGTCTTTGTAACCAAGCTGTGTTACAGCTTGGCAAATACTGTTCTGATTTCTGCCTAGACAGAACTACCAAAACCTGCTGCTGCCATTAGTAGAGTATATATGGAAATAAAGATTTTAAAATGGTTGCTGCTATCTAAGCCCCAGATAGTAAAATCCATTCTGCTTACATGTGATATACAAATATTTTACTGATTGAACTGCAAGTACTTTAAGCTGTTTTTTAGTCTGCTTAAAGCACAATTTACTGAGCTACCTGCTCTGAATATATTCCTCAGCACTTGCGAGTAATGCAAATTGTGGAAAGCTTTATTTATGAGATTTTAAAAGGGGAGAGAGAAAGTTAAAATTATTAGTATAAAGCAAAAAATGCACTAAAACAGTTGATTTGAATTACTTCAATATACTGGTTACATTTTCATAGTTAACACTTTATTGGGAAAATATTTTTTATGTTTTGCATGAGGGATGAAACAGTTTGCAATCCAGGGGTCTAACTTAGAATTCTAAGTTAACCAGGCTAAATCTAGACAGGAATGTTTGTTTTTAGAAGTTTTTATTTTTTTCAGACAGCAGACAGTCATTGAGGTTAGCAGTGTTAGTAGAAACACACTTCTTTTGGTTTGGTTTGGTTTGGGTTTTTTTGTTTGTTTGGGGTTTTTTTGTAGTTTTTTTAATTCATGTTACAATTTCTTTCAGATAGGATATTGTCGCTGCAGATGTCTGAGTACTGTGATGGCAGTGGGTGTCTTGATCTGGAAAACTTTGTTCTGATCTCTTTCCAAAACCTGAAGTAATTGCTGTTTCCAGCAAATGCATAAAGGTGGAGTGATGTGCTGGACAAGGAACCAGCGATGTGCTCTGATAGCTAATCAAGCTAATCAGGCTGTCTGTTAGCCAGGGCCAGTTTGTTTCACATGCACATCCTCATGTCTGTAGACTCAGAAACCATCTTGCAGGGGTCTTTCAAGTCAGCTGAGCTAAGTGCAGCATGGGAAGTTTAATACACTACTGTACTGGGACTTGTTCGATATCAGAAGGTTATTGCAGATTGCTGTTCGGTGTCTGTTTTCAATTTCTCACTTCTTGACTAAAAAGGATGTTTTTCTTGTACATGTAGGCTTGTTTCAACAAAGGTTCAAAGACCTCCTAAGTACAGGACAAAACACAAACCCAAGAATGCACTTGGAGTGATCGAGTAAGATGGGCTATTGGTCTTGTCTAAAAGTCTCCTAAAAATAAAGTTTCATAGCATTTTTGGGAGAAATTCTTTGAATTGGAAACACAGGAAAAAAAAAGTACATAAAGGTAGCTGTCTCTGAACTTGAGTCTGGAAAGCTTATCACAAGGAGAAGCACATGCTGCTTAATTATATATGAGACATTTTTGTCTCTTCTATTTCATTGAAGGGAGGGAAATCTGAAGGATTAGTCACAACTTGAGAGTAGCCCCACCTTAATTCCATGCCTTAATTAAGTGTTCCTCTCAGTGTCTTTCATTCCTTTGTTGTTGACATCTGTGTTCAAAACCAGGTTATAACTAGAAAGAAAACACAACTAAAAAAAAATTCTTTGCCCGGTCTTTCTAGTTTAATTTTTCTGTTGCTTATGTATTAATTACTTAAAAATTATTATAAATAAAATAGACTTTTCACATGCACACGGATAAAATTAATTATTGTATTTTTTTCTTGACTCCAGGCTATGGTGGCTTGTTATCCAGGCAATGGAACAGGATACGTGCGCCATGTTGATAATCCAAATGGAGATGGAAGATGTGTTACATGTATATATTATCTTAATAAGGACTGGGATGCCAAGGTATGCAATAATTTCTTTCTAAACAATCTTTTTTGTTTGTTTTAGGTATACTTGCTGATGCACCTTTGCTACAGGCATATTTTTTCATGTCCTTATTTCTGTGCCTTAGTTGCGTTCTTACATTATGTTAGCTGTGGGTATCCTTTGCCCCCTCTGACTCTGTTGTTAGTGAGAGCAGATAGAGATGGAGTGTTGATTTTCAAGGTTTTGAATTATGCCAGCAGGACCTTTTTGACAGTAAGATTGAAGGAAAGTAGTAAATGCCTCTCCTATACACAAAGACTAAATAAACAATACATGAAACTGCCTTCGGTTTATTTGTCCTTACAGTCCTGTTGAATTGTGAGTTTACTGTTTGTGCAAGTAGATTGCTTAATGGAGTATGCTTATAAAGAGAGAGATGCTGTAGCTTGAGAGCATTTTCAAATAAACCAAGTGTTACCGTCATTGCTACATCAGTGTAGTTCAAAGTATCACGAGTCTTTATATTTTTGTAGATACGGGGAGCAGAACAGACTTATAGCACAGTTCAAGTGCTTTAAGAGTTTACTACAAGGGAGTATGATAAAGAAATTTTTTAATAAGGATTTTCCTAGCGATTCAGTGGGCTAGGTAGATTTGAAAAATGGATGTAGCTAAGTGACTGTATTGAAAGCGTGAAAGAGTAATGCAAAGACAGCATTTTAATGCAAAGACAGAAGTTTATTCTCATTCTGTGTAGGAAAAAAAAGGATAAAACTACTGATACTTCTATCATAGTTAGGAAGTAGCATGTGGAAGAGCACTAAAAGCAGTCAGTTTCTGTGAATTGCGTGCAGCAGATATGGATAACACAGGCTGCAGCTGAGAGTTTTTATTTTTCTTATTTTCCCCTCATAACGTACTTGCATGAACTGGTAGATCAGAGAGTTGAGTCAAATGGATGCACTTGAAGCTTTCTGTTTCTGACATGCTCTTTGACATGTCCAATTGGATCCTTCAATTAGAAAATAAATTACCAGCCTTTTTTTGCCGTGATAGTATTTTTGCATATAAGTGCACTCGTTGTATTGAGCATCTTAAAATGCAGCTTTGGGGCATTTCTGGTTGATTTATAGTTTCTCTCCTGGAAAAAAATTTAATACATACCAGAGTGTAGAAGTCAAGCAAATTGCATTTTTACAATAACTATGAAAAATTTACTATCTGGATATTTTATTTATGAAGAAAGGTATTTCATTTCCTGCAAAATCTATTTTAAATTACAAATTAATATACTACCAAGTATATTGTTTATTGAAGAAGAAGCTCAAACTTTTTTTAGGAGAACAAATGTATCTAAATTGTCATTTGTTTGCTGATTTAGAACACAATTAAAAAACAGTCATTTATATCAATTTGCCTTGTTGGTACTTGCACTGTTATGACTCTTATGACATGAAGGCCTATGGTGGCCATCTGTAGTTAGATTTAACAACATTGATACCATAAGTAGGAAGATGTTAGCATGACTTATGTGTTTAACCCCACCTACTTGTGCTGTTTTCTAGACATACATAGGTAGGCCCAACTGTTTTCAAAACCTGGAAGATATTTAAATTGACCATCAGTAATACAGATTCAGGTTTTAGTTCGAAGTTTCCTACTCCTTGCTCATTTTAATTATAGAAACATTACATAAATTTGTGCTGCTGTTAAATGAAATAATGTCTTTAATGGGGCAGAGTGAAACTTAGATGTGAAATACAATGTTTCGCTCATCTATACTGCGATATTTTTACCTCAATATAGAGACATATATCTATAGACCGTGTATGTATGGTATATAGACTGATAGGTATATAGTCTATATATAGACTGATATTACCTGTGTAATATCAGTCAGTCTTATCCATTTTTTTGCAAGTAGGTAATGCAGCTAAAAAACCCCCAATCTAAGCCCACAGCTTTTACTTAAACGTGAATGGAAGTTTAATATTTGCAAGCATTCTGAAATTACTCAATGAAAAATGTGTAGAACATTTTATTAAATGCATTGACAGAAAAGTCATAGATTCATAATTTCTGTAGCACCTGATAAAGACTTTTGTTTCAGTTCCAAGTGTCTGAAATATTTTCAAATGTGATATTTGGTACTTTTAAATACAGTGAGACATTGTTCTCAAGCATTGCTTTTAAATACTTAATTTGTAGGTAAGTGGAGGCATCCTTCGGATATTTCCAGAAGGTAAAGCCCAATTCGCTGATATTGAACCCAAATTCGATAGACTGCTATTCTTCTGGTCTGATCGCCGCAACCCTCATGAAGTACAGCCAGCCTTTGCTACAAGGTAGGACTAACGGACTCTCTACTGCATGATGCCTGTTTTATCAAGAAATGAGCAAATCCTAATGAGAAATGAGTGACACTGAATTATGACCTGACAAAAAGGTGTTTTGGTTTTTTTTCCTGTGGGTGGATGATTAGGCTTCCACTGTGCTGCTGAGTTTGTAGTGACGCCTTATCTCTTATTTTGGAGAAAGGTGGGAGGACTGGAAACACTAGAAGTTGCTGTGCTTGGCTGAACTGGGTGGGAGCACGCAGAGCCAGGAACAGATCTCAGCTAAAGGATGTTGTCTTCATTATTTCTCTGTAGTGGCTTTACATTCTTCTCCCTTCCCTTTGTCCTTAGGACCTTAATGTGTTACTGGAAGATTGACTAGGTACTTCAGCTTTATGTCCCCTCTTGTTGGGAGAGACCTGTCAGAAAACAGTAATTTCAAACTAAGCTGCCATGTGCTAGTTTGGGAACTGGGAGAGAGTTATGGGGCAGAAACAACCATGGATACATAAATCTTTTGAGTATTAGAGGAGTTGCTTTCAGTCTGAGGCATAGGGGAAACTGCATATCTCCTTTGTCCCTCACTGCAGGGCAGTGGATGATGCTAAAGGTACCCTCATTCACTGCCCACATGTGATGAGTAACATTTCCAGATAGCATTAATAGGTAGCATTGGAGTTGTTGATCCAAGCTTCTTGTTGCCCATGTTCTAACACATTTGGATGGCCAGAGGACTGAACGTTGACTGGAGCTGTGAGATAACAGAAGTACCTTTGGGAGAAGTAACTTGAAACTGCCTTCGGTGCATCCTCTTGCAGCCTTTCAAGAAGCTGTACGCTCTCCCCTCCCCCTTTGTGCTCCCAGCAGAGTTAGAGGGTGAAATGCCATTTACTAAAGCTCCTTAGAGTCTTTTCTCAATAGCTGGCATTTTGTATTTAAATCCTCTACGGGCAGTGGAAGAACAGAGGACCTGTGATAGTTAATTGTTCCTTGTGCCAAATGTCCAAAAAAAGAGGTTTTTGCAGCGTAACTCAGTGATGGACTTGACCTAGTAAAAAGATGAGATCACAGGACAAGGTGGTATAGGCAGAGACTTCATTACGTGTGCTGGGCAAGAACTGTAATAGCAAACTCATTAGAAAAAGAAGTGTAAACTTAAAGCATCAGTGTCACCCCTTCAATGACTGTTCAGACAATATCTACTAATAGGAAAAAAAAACAGAACAACCACTTGCTTTCTGAAAACTGTATTTTGTCAGACTGCAGAAGTATCATCTCATTTAGGTTGTGTTTCATGCCAACTGCTTCACTGTTCTTTTTCCTTCGATTTCCCTAGGTACGCAATAACAGTGTGGTATTTTGATGCAGATGAAAGAGCACGAGCTAAAGTAAAATATCTAACAGGTAATCTCTTGTTAATATCTTCTCCATTGTTTGTTTTTTCTTGGTGAAAGAATAGCTGAGTAGTCTAGCCTCATCTCCTTGCCCCACCCTATGCACAAGCAGAGGGAGAAGTCGGCATAACTCAAGAATCGGGTTTTACAGGGAAGGATGACCCAAGGATTGAACTCCTAGGCAGGGCTTGGGGAAGAAATCCAGGTCAGTGCCTGTCCTGCTCACACTTTCTCTGAGACCTGAGGCTGCTCAGTATTTTTACATGGGGAATACAGCTTCCCCCTAGTCTTGTCTCCCTAATAGGTGTGGAGAATACTGCAGAACTGAGAGCCTTGAAAATAGTTTTGATTGACTGTAGTGATTCAACAAGTGAATACAACTTCACATGACAAAAATTTTATATTGGAGAAACAAAAGCCTAAAATTAAAATCTGGAATCAAAGAATGGAGTTACTTCCTCCATTTCCAATTTCACATATCTAGCATCTGTTTTCCTTTTCTGGCTTCTCCCTCAAGAGGAAGTTGATCTAATTTTCCTGTTCAAATTAGCATTATAAGGAGAAATGGCCTAGAACTTCTGCCATGCTTGTAATTGCCATCACAATTTTGTGTTTGTTACAGTAGTTTGAAAATAAACCAAAATTAGGTGTATTTTGTGTACCACAAGTGCACACATACATGGAGTTTTGTCAAGAGCTCTGAAGCCAATGATGTTGAAGGCATGTGCCAGTCATTTCCAAATGATATTTCCATGCAGTGCTGTTAGGTGTCTGAAGCTCCTAAGTGGCCTCCTAAGAGCTGTGTAGCAGCTCTGAAAGCTGCAGTTCAGTTCAGTCCCCCTTGGTGCAGCTGGTGACTGTGTATTTTGGGAGTGGTAAGAGCAGTGCAGCTCCTGCCTGGCTTGTGAAGGGAGCTCCTCAGCTCCAGCCAGGTAGGATGTCCCATTGCTCCATGGCACATGCCTGGCAAGGCACAGTGACTTCCTAGGCAGTCAGGAGTGACAGATAATGCCTTCCTGTCTCCACAGGAAGCCTTTCTATCTCTGAGCTGGCCGTCATGTCACAAGTGTGTGACGGTGCAGCTCCTGGAGCTGGCTTTACTGGTCAGAGCTCTGCTGTTGCCTCTGCACAGCTTCAGCTGCTACCCTTTCAGAGAGAGTGCAGGGAAGTGGTTTGGGTGGGCTTTTGTGCCTGATGGGAAGGTGCTCCCTCCTCTGCCCCAGTCCCTCTCCAAGTCCCTCTAAACTGCTGGCACTTAAGGAAGGAAGGCTGGGTTGTTTAAATTTCACAGAACCACAGAATCAATTAAGTTAGAAAAGACCTCTGAGATCATTGAATCCAACCTTTGACTGAACACCAGCAGGTCAACTAGAACATGGCACTCAGTGCCACATCCAGTCTTTTCTCAAACACCTCCAAGGATTGTGACCCCATCCACTTCCTGGGCAACCCATTCTATTTTTTAATCACTCTTTCTGTGAAGAAATTCCTCATCCTCCTTCAGTATGGGTTTGCCCTGTAATTGATTTATATTACCATATTGTTGTGTTTTCGGTTGTCATTTGCAATTAAAATTGTGTTCTCTGCTGTATATCTGCAGCAAGAATTGTGCAAGATGCTTTTTATTTTCTACTGACAGTAATGTGTAAAATTATAGAATAAAATGTCGTAAAATAGAAAACTTCGTATTTGGATTAGTGTAAGTCTAACTAAAGCCATGCAGAATATGTGTTTTTTTTCTTGCATATGGGATATTGTGTCTGTTAATGTTTTGATAGTCAAACTTTATTTGGGGTGACCTGAATAGGTCAATTTTTAGAAAAGGGACAGAAGAGGTGCACATTGGTTGATGGTCAAATGGAATGTTGCATTTTAAAAATCCCTCAGAGATTTTTTACCGAGGTAAATACCTAGAAGCTCTGGATGTTCTGATACAGAATAATGGGCAGTATCCTCAGGTTCTTAATTGTCCATTCTTAAAGCTTACCTTTATAAGGTCTGAGATGATGAGCTTCAGAACTGCATGTATGATGTGAAGTATCCACTTCTCTGTGTGAGCAGCCAAATATGTGCTGCCTTTCAGAGATGAAGAGTAACCATAGCTCATTAACTTTACACAGCACAGGATACAGAGCATGTATACAAAGATACCTATCTTGCTAGATCATTTGTACTAGACCATCTTTGAAGTACTCTCTTAAAACTAATCTGGACAGTGAATGTAGCAATTGTAAAGACTGTACTTTGATAAATGCTGAAAAATAATACTGATTTCCTTTTCATATTTCTGCAGGTGAAAAAGGTGTGAGGGTTGAACTTAATAAACCTTCTGACTCAGTTGGGAAAGACGTTTTATAAGCCTTTGATTTAGCAACTCCCTGTGCTATTCTCCCTGATAAATCTTGATGCTATCTATTAACTTTTGAATGTGAATAACAAGATAAAGGAAAATCAACAACAAACCAACATCTTAATAAGGAAGCAAACAGTGTTTCAATGTTGCATCAAATAGAAGGTTCTTTGACTGCTGAAGCATTGTACTATGTGATTGTGACTCCAGGCCTGTGACTGCTTATGTGAAGAAGATAAGCAATCAGTAAGAAACAGCATATGCATCTGGACATAAATAAGTGCCCTACATAGAATTTGTCCATTCTTATATTTTGCCAGACCTGTCATCCAGCTGAATCCATTTCATCTCTCCCTTTTTTTATATGGTAAAAGTTTGAATTTTGGGTAATTTTTGTATGACCAGGTACAGTTTATCAAAATTGAGTCTTAAAAAAAAAAAAAGAAAAACTGAAAAAAAAGGAAAAAAATTACAGTATTCTCCAAAATAACGTGGATCTATTTTTGTAAAACTGTTCATACTGTTCTCCTCTGCCATGAAAGACCTAATTTAATGTAAGGGTTGCCAGTAACTGATAATCACTTTAATTTTCTTTACACCTTAAGTCAGAAAAAGAGCACTTTAATTACCAGCTAAAAACCTGATTGTTTTATATCATATCTCACACTAATCTTAACTTTTAAAGATTGCTGCTGTATTGTTTTTTTGACTATGTTCTCTTGAACCGTATTAACAGAAGCAAATCAGTATCTTGCTATTAGTAACATTCAGTTTGTGGTTTTGTATATTGAATCCACAGAGGGGAAGTTTCTGTTTCTTCTTTGTTTTGTTTTTTGGGTTTTTTTTTTTTTTTTGTTTTGTTTTGGGTTTTTTTGTTAGGTTTCTTTTTTTTTTGTGCGTGTGTGTTTTTTTTATTTTTTAAGTGACTGGCACTAAGTGAACTTGACACTATCGGTTGCTGTCATTGGCTTTGGGGACCTGGTAAATACCATCAAGTTACAAGTATATACAAGGGCTTTCCTAGGCTATTAGAGGTACCCAGAACCTCCTTACTTACTTGACAGAAATTTTTGAGCTTTCTCCCTTTTCTAAAAAATACTTGCCACCCCTCTTTCCTTTGTATATAAGTTAATGGAATATCTAAAATTCCCTTTTTTTAATTTCCTTTTCAAATATTTGTGTCCCATGCAGCCTGTAAGTTGACACCTTGATCTATTATATAGTATCAAGGAAATGGTCAGCACACTGAAGCTGAAGTGCATCACTCTGTAGGCTCCTTGTGCAATACATCTTTAAGTTTTCACTGTGCTGAAGGATTTCCCCAAAAAGGCACGGCCCTTTGACAAATACTGAGGTAAATATTTAGTAAGAAAACATTTACTTTCTATTACATTGTTTTCATTTTATCAAGGAGAGGGGGGGCATCACAGAGTAAAAGTGAGATGTGCAGAAACTTCGATATTCTTATTTTTAAGAAATTGATATTTTGGACACTGATTTTTTTTTTCTTCTTCTTTCCTTTATTTTTTCTGAGCTTTAAAAGCTTGAGAAAACAAAAGCAAACCTATCAAAAACAGCATTTGTATTTACAGGAGTTTGGGGGTTGATCAGCTTACCCACTGCAGTTTTCTATCTGTTCCTTATTTCCTTACTTAGCCAAAACAATGTGAGTGTACAGAAATATTTCTGTATATATTACAACTTGTGACAGTTTTAGCATCTGTATAGTTTGTATTCAATTAGAAACCTTTTCTATGGAAAGCTCAGTAATTTTTTATTAAAAACATTACTATTGTTCATGTAAAACATGAAAAAGCTAATTGTTTAGTAACAAACTGACAGAAGGGGGAAAAAATTCAGTATTGGTATATCATTTAGGAGAACCAACAGAAATCCCAGTTTTGTTTTGATTTCGCTTTTCCTTTTTTTTAGTAAGTTCTTGCCCTGTACAGTTCTCTTCCTCTTTCTTCTTTTCTTCCCAGAAAAACAGACAGGATACTTTACTGTAAGTGCCTCTGCCAACCTGGCCAAGGAGTGCAAATCTTCATTACTGTCTGGTCTGCAGTGCATTTAGGTTACTAATAAAACAAGCAAAAAAGTCGTCTCTTCTACTTCATCTTCTTTAGTACTACTTTAACAGAGGTTTGTTTGTTTTTGTTTTAGAAATGTAAACATAAGCCTTTAAACTCATTTCAGTCCCTCTGTAATTCAAACTGCTGCAGTTAAACAGCGTATCAAATTTTAATCACACTGTAGGTTTGTGCTTGCCGGACAGGTTTAAAAAGTGCTTAATTTTTCACTCCATGTAAGTCATTACAGCAGGGTCAACAAATCAGGTCAGCCATTTCTTCCATGTCCTTCAGAAACTGTTCATTTCATGTCGGTTGAATATTCAGTCTTGAGCATCACCAAGCAGGTCCTTGTTTTAAAACTATTTTTTAAACTGTCTTATGATCTGTATGTGTCTAGTCCTGGTTAAAAATAAAGCTTCATAATGCTATTTTTATTCATGATGTTAGCTGGCTGTGAAATATGAGACCTTTATCTATAGCAGGCGAAGAAATTCAGGATTCATTTACAGGTTGCCTATAAAGTTGTGTAATTTCAAAAGCAGTGTTCATTATGAAAGAGCTCTCAAGTTGCTTGTAAAGCTAATCTAATTAAAAAAGATGATGTATAAAGGTTCTTGAAAGCTATGTGGTTATTTGTAATCTTTGTAACTTTTAAAACTACCCTGTAGCAACAAATTTATAAATGCCCCCTGATAAAGGGGGTATGTGGAATTTTGGTTGGTTTGTGGGGGGTATTTTGTTTTGTTTTGGATGTTTTGGTTGGGATTTTTTTGTTTGTTTTAGTTCTTATGTTGTTGTAGGTTTGTGGGGTGTTTTAAAATCAGAGCTATTTCTGCTCTGGAGAAGAATCTGGGGTTTTTTTTCTGTAGACTGCCTACAGTTACCTGGGTGTGGTGATCATTTTCCTGATGATTTTCTCCCTCAAAAACAGGACCATGCATGGGCTTTCTGAAGAGTGATGATGGACTTAGAGTCAGCTCTAGTTTTTCCACCACTTTTGACAGATACGTGAGGTGCAAAAATCAAAGTCCTCTTAAAACAGGATTTGTAAGGTTTAATGGGAGCTCCTCAGTTTTACAGCTTCCAATGAATTATGTGCCCTTCAAAGATGACATACTGATTGGTACAATCAGACTGAAAAGGACCATTTCTGTGCATGCCAGATGCTTCGAAAAAGAAATGAGAATGCCAAGTGACAATAGCAAACTCAAAGTCTCAAAACTCTAGGAGTCTAGCATGTGAACCTTGCCTGCAGGCATGCACATAGCTGCATGCACTTGCAAATACCTAGTGGGAATTTATGAGTACTGAGCAGCAAAGACTCTAAAGAAATTTGGCTCTTACCTGGATTTGGATGTCATCTGCTTGGGGGTAATGGGGGTAGAGGTATGGATCTCTGGGTCTCCAATCATCAGGTTGTTTGGTTTTTTTTCATTTTTCAAGTAAAGCTTGAATGTAAGTAATTACTGCAAATGCATTTAAGCCTGCTTGTTCAGGAGCTGTGTTCGCTCTGGACTGTCTGCTGCATCAGAGTTGCTTGACCTTGTCTGTTGGGGGTGGATAGCATCTGGCAGAAGCAGGTTTCAAGGTCCAATGAGGAATATGGGACATGCAAAGTGAAAATATGCTGTAGGTGTCTGCTTTGGTAGAGACATGAAGTGTGAGGAGAAAGAATACATAATGTGTTTGCCTCGGGAAAGACAGTTGTTGATGCATCATCTATCCTTCCTCTTCATGGATGTATGTTGCAAAAGATGAGATGTTCATAACTAGAACAAGGAGCTGGTTTCCTTGTCTGTATTTCAGTAGTAAGTTGCTGGATTTTGGGGACTTTTTCCCTTATTAAATGTGCAGTTTGGGATTAAGCTTTTGTTGACAGTAGTTTATGGGTTCTTGTGGAGAATTTACTGTAACTACATTGTATATAATGTGGTGATAAATGCTGGCAGAGGTGACCGGCTCATTCAGCCTACAAGCCCAGTACCAGCCTCTTCACATGGCTAAAATTTTGCAAGGCAATATCTCACATCAGAGTGGGGAGGGATGTAAAACACACAGATGAGTTAACACTTGCCAGCATCACACACAAGCAAGTTGTGGTACAAGGCACACTGCTTCAGGGCAGTGTCTACACTGAAAACTAGTATTTCTTTCAAATGCTGTTGGAGACAGGAAGTAAAATTTCATCTGTGAATATTCACCATGTGGATCCAGTACTCCTTGTGGGCTTGTACGTGTCAGTGTGGTTTGCCAGGATGGAACCAGTTCCTCTCCTGGGTTTGTTTCAGGGGCTGATGTGGTTCAATTTTACTTTTGCTTTTAACTAAAATATGAATCCAAAATAACTAAAATGTAGAGATTTGACTCCTACTCACAGATAAAAAGCCTAATACCCGAATATTCTGTTGGGTTGTGAGCTGATATTTCACTACCTAAAGAAAGCAAGAGTCAACCACAAAGCCAAGCAAAAAAATTATCGAAACTATCTTAAGGCAAGTCAATTCTGTTGTAGATGTGTCTTGCTTACATTGCTTTATGTAAGCAAGCTTTATAAATTTATTAATAAATATTGCATTATGCAGAAGACATGGTGGCAGACCTAAAGAACAGAAGAAAACAAATTTTGGAGCTCGATTAATTGCTTTGCAATCCTGAGAAGTTTTTTCATGCAGTAAGATAGAGGAAATGTGTCAAAACCCCCCACACAACCACCCCTAGACCTGGAAAGTGCAGTCTTAGTTGTTGGTGGGTTCTGTACCATGGGTTACCAGAACTGAAAGATACTTCAGAACTGTTTTACTTTGAGCACTTGGCAACATCTTTGGACATCAAGGAGAGTATATTTCTTCAGGGAAAATATGACTGTGGACACCAGTAATGTTTGCCAAAGGGCTGTGGGTAATAACAATCTGTTTTCTGAGATTAGAGTCCAGCTGATGGTGTTCCCGATAGCAAAGAGCGAGGTTTGAGCTGTCACATTAGGCGTATTTATTTTCCCTTAACTTCCTCTTCCCCAGCCACAACATAATAGTAAGTAATGTGGTGCTAGGCACGTGTTCTGAATAGTCATATTTTAATGAACAAGCAGAAACTGTAAGTTAACTCTCTTTGGTCCTAAATATTTGTTATATGTAGAAGAACTCTTCGATGAATGTGGGTAGCAATTTCTAAACTACTTTGATTATTTTTTCCCACCTGCACTATGAGAACATTTTAGCTTTGATTTTTTCTTTCTGATGATTTTTTTTAACCCCTTTATTTAAAATAGCACAGTAGGAAATGACACTGTGTAGCTGAGAGTTCCTGCAGCTTTGCAACCATGCAACATTATGCAATGACATGAGCAGGGAGGGCACGTACTTTACGGTAAACCTGGGGCTTATACAAACCCAGGAGAGGAGAGGGGCCGCGGGGG